ACACTTGCATGCCACTGCCATCTAAATCACTCTATTTTTGTTACCGCTTTTAAAACTATGTAAAGTGCCTTGAAATAAGGCGCTGTATAAATATAAAACAAGGTGAGATCAAAGAAGATATAACATGATAATCATTGAGTGTCGTTGTAGACACTTGATGGGAAGGAAGCTTTGTGGATGCGTATTTATTATGGTACTTATATTTTCCACTAGGATGCTCAATGATCATCATTTATTTGGATGTACTGTATATTGCCATGACAGTAATTGGTTGTAGCAGTATTATTTTCACAAATAAAATAAAATGTACATATAATAAAGGATGACAAGGCAGTGCACTAAAGTAATGAGACATAGTCGTGAATAAAGGATATAATTAAACAACAAAAATAGCCTGTACTATGTATATATAAATGCAACATTTTGATTGATTTTTTTTAGCAAAAAGAGTTTCGAAGCATTCATGAACTTTGGTGAGACAGCTGTTCACTGCCTGTCAACAGCGTCTTGAGATGAGGTTACATTTAGAGGATACATACTAAAATCCAACTTGCTTTGTATTGTGCTGCATTGTGATCAGTGTTTGCACTGGGTGTGCTGGCTTGAGTCCAGCTAAAATCTGTATTCATATTCTTTGGGTCTTTCGGTAAAACCACGTAGTTAGAAAAAAAAAAAATCAAAATAATAACAATATCACGTTTCGTTCGCAACACAAGCAATCGTCTTCAGGCAATCACCTGAAGACGTTTGCTTGTGTTGCAATCGAAACGTCGTGATATTGTTATTATTTTGATAATTTTTTTAACGTACGTGGCTTTACCAAAAGACCCAAAGATTTGAATTCCTGCAGTCACGAAAGCTTTAAGTCAAGATTTAAAATCTGTAATTTTTTTACTTCAGGATTTAAGTCACTTTCATTCTCTACAGCAGCGGTCGGGAACCTATGGCTCGCGAGCCATAAATGGCTCTTCCAGTGACGGCATATGGCTCCCAGACAATTTTGAGTTGAAAAAAAATAATAATAAAAAATAAAAAAATCTGTTTGGAAATGATTTTAAAATACTTGTGATATTGCTTAATAATAGTGTGTCATTTTAAAGTAAACAGAAATTAGTTTTGAAGATAAATTTCACGGGTCACGCCTGCATGAAGCTCAACCTCACCACGTACGAACCAGACTACTACAAGGCCATCAGCAAAACCACACAGCACCAGAAGTCGCATTAAAAGTAAGACATTTAATTTATTATACGTTAAAAATACTATATGGCTCTCAATGAAATATATTTAGAAATATTTGCCTTTTATGGCTCTCCCAGTCAAAAGGTTCCCGACCCTTGCTCTACAGTTAATGTAAGTGTAGTGGAATAACGCGCACGGGGGTTTGCAAGCGGTGTGCACGCAGGTTCGGCGAGAGAGAGAGCAACGGAAAGGAGACGGCCAATTAGGATGCATCGGAGTGATTGGGTGGCTGCAAATGCAGGCGCGGAACAGGCGCCAGGTTGACGGGAGATTGAGGCGATAATGGCTGATGCCACGGGGCATGATGCGACGGGAGGTGGCCAGCTTAATTAATGAGGAGTTAATGAGGAGGGGGAAATATACGGCAGCGTGAGAGCGACGGGGTTGAGTTGGTCGGAGTGAAGACAAGAGGAAAGACAAGAGAAGTCCCAGGCCCCGCTCGCCACACCTGGCCCTCTCCAGCGGTGATGGCTGAACCCCCACCGGAGGCAAGGGCGAGGTTGGAGAGGCGAGGGTAGAAAGGCTAGCAGTAGAGAAGCTAGCGGAATCCTAAGTGTGAGCGTGCGAGGCTAGCAGTGGAGAAGCTAGCAGGGAGTATAGCTAGCAGTGGAGAAGCTAGTAGAGTATATAGCGGAAGGCTAGCAGTGGAGAAGCTAGCGGAAGATAGTGAGAGGCTAGCAGTGGAGAAGCTAGCAGAAGATAGTGAGAGGCTAGCAGCGGAGAAGCTACCAGAGTGTGTAGTGGTAGTCCAGCAGCGGAGAGAGCGAAGCTAGCGGAGAGTGGCAGGCAGGCTAACAGTAGAAAGGCTAGGAGAGTGAGAGAGAGAACAGGCTAGCAGTGGAGAGGCTAGGAGAGTGAGAGAGAGAGCAGGCTAGTAGTGGAGAGGCTAGGAGAGTGAGAGAGAGAACAGGCTAGCAGTGGAGAGGCTAGGAGAGTGAAAGAGAGAACAGGCTAGCAGTGGAGAGGCTAGGAGAGTGAGAGAGAGAACAGGCTAGCAGTGGAGAGACTAGGAGAGTGAGAGAACAGGCTAGCAGTGGAGAGGCCAGGAGAGAGAGAGAGTGAACAGGCTAGCAGTGGAGAGGCTAGGAGAGTGAGAGAGAGAGCAGGCTAGCAGTGGAGAGGCTAGGAGAGTGAGAGAGAGAACAGGCTAGCAGTGGAGAGGCTAGGAGAGTGAGAGAGAGAACAGGCTAGCAGTGGAGAGGCTAGGAGAGTGAAAGAGAGAACAGGCTAGCAGTGGAGAGGCTAGGAGAGTGAGAGAGAGAGAACAGGCTAGCAGTGGAGAGGCTAGGAGAGTGAGAGAGAGAACAGGCTAGCAGTGGAGAGGCTAGGAGAGTGAGAGAGAGAACAGGCTAGCAGTGGAGAGACTAGGAGAGTGAGAGAGAGAGAACAGGCTAGCAGTGGAGAGGCTAGGAGAGTGAGAGAGAGAACAGGCTAGCAGTGGAGAGGCTAGGAGAGTGAGAGAGAGAGAACAGGCTAGCAGTGGAGAGACTAGGAGAGTGAGAGAGAGAACAGGCTAGCAGAGGAGAGGCTAGGAGAGTGAGAGAGAGAACAGGCTAGCAGTGGAGAGACTAGGAGAGTGAGAGAGAGAGAACAGGCTAGCAGTGGAGAGGCTAGGAGAGTGAGAGAGAGAACAGGCTAGCAGTGGAGAGGCTAGGAGAGGAGAGAGAGAGAACAGGCTAGCAGTGGAGAGGCTAGGAGAGTGAGAGAGAGAACAGGCTAGCAGTGGAGAGGCTAGGAGAGTGAGAGAGAGAGCAGGCTAGCAGTGGAGAGACTAGGAGAGTGAGAGAGAGAACAGGCTAGCAGAGGAGAGGCTAGGAGAGTGAGAGAGAGAACAGGCTAGCAGTAGAGAGGCTAGGAGAGTGAGAGAGAGAGCAGGCTAGCAGTGGAGAGGCTAGGAGAGTGAGAGATAGAACAGGCTAGCAGTAGAGAGGCTAGGGGAGTGAGAGAACAGGCTAGCAGTGGAGAGGCTAGGAGAGAGAGAGAGATAAATCAATTCTAGATTTGAAGCTTTCGTGACTGCAAGGATTCATACTCTTAGGTTTTTTCGGTAAAGTCACGTAGGTAAAATAATAATATAATAATTAAACTAACTCAATTAAATCACGACGTTTCGGAGACTTGTGTTGCCTTCGAAACATCGTGATTTAATTTAGTTATTTTCATTTATTATTATTTTATTATTATTATGATTTTATCACCTACGTGACTTTACCAAAAAAACCTAAGAGTATCGAGAGAAATCAAGCAGTGGAGAGGCTGAGAGGGAGAGGGGGGGCGGAGTGAGCGGGATGATCATGACGGAGTTACGGGATGCCGAACGCGAGGAGTTCTGTTCAATAAAAAGTGACGCAGGAGAAAGATAAACACAACTGTCGGCAGTGGCAGAACATGCTTGTCAACAATGACACTCAATTTATTTTGATAACGTTGAAGTGTTGTGTAAAACGAATTTATTACTGGCCAAGACTAATGAGATAATCCATGGAAATTGAGAGAAATGCAAATAACTTTAATCGCTCTGACTTTAGTGCGGCCTGGAAGCGTATTATTAAATAAAATATATTACAATTCCTTATAGGGGAAACGAATACCAATTAATAACAATTGAATGATTACCAATCTATTATATAATTACAATACCCTCCCACTCTCAGCCTCAAATCACTGCACCAGATTGGGTTAAATCAGCGGTCGGGAACCTATGGCTCGCGAGCCATATATATGGCTCTTCCGGTGACGGCATATGGCTCCCAGACAATTTTGAGTTGAAAAAAATAATAATAAAAAAATAAAAATAAAATCAGTTTGGAACTGATTTTAAAATACTTGTGATATTGCTTAATAATAGTGTGTCATTTTAAAGTAAACAGAAATTAGTTTTGAAGATAAAATTTCTCGGGTCACGGGTCCCGTGGACCAGAAGTCGCATTAAAAGTAAGACATATTTAATTTATTATACGTTAAAAATACTATATGGCTCTCAATGAAATATATTTAGAAATATTTGGCTTTTATGGCTCTCCCAGTCAAAAAGGTTCCCGACCGCTGGGTTAAATGATGACGTCACCCTGCTGCTATTTAAGATCGGGAGCAGGTGGAGGGCTTCACCATTCTGGCGAATTGCCCGATGATGCTGGATGTAATTACCAGCGAAACGGCGTACTCAAAATTGTAAGTGATGTTGATTCACTCTTCAACACACCGGTGGGCTAAAGTAGTGAACTATTTTTGTCTTTTGTAAACGTGACACATTTTTTACTGTTTGGCCGTGTTGGGTGGTGGAGGGTTATGACACATTTCTAAATAACGCGATGTAACCCAAAAACCTTTACTATTAGAAAAAGTTGTCCGCATGAAATAAAAAAACACTACACAAGTGATAATAATCAAAATCTTTATTTCGACTGGAGGAATCCGATGAGCTATGAATCAATATTTCACAGATGTCCAGTGGATCAGCAAATGAACCACAAAGCAGCCTCGCTCTCAAAAACCATGCTCATCTCGAGTCCGTGCAAAAGGGCAACATCGGTAATTCATGAGTATCATTTCAATGTCATCATAGGCTGATACTAAATTCCAGCTCATTAATATATTCGCTATTGTGCTCCTGTGGATAAGGGCGAAAATCCAGAGAGGTAAGAGCATGGGGGGTTGTATATCTCTGCGTGTGGGGCAAGCGGGGATGGGCCGGGCAGGGTAGTCGTGGGTTGAAGGGGAGGGAGTGAGTTTTATAAGGAAGGGGCTGGCTGGCTGTCCGTGGTGCTTGCTCCGTGCATGCGGTGCTCGTGGATAAGAGCGACAGGAGCGAGGAAGACGGCAGGGTGCTCAGCACCCAAGATCCATCGGTGGGTAATATATAATCATATAAGCTCTCTCTAGTGAATTAAATTAGTAAAATTGCTGATTGCATTTGCGTGCTGTGCAAGGAACTTTTAATATTTCCTCGATTTTCACCGTTTGGTTAATCATGAAAATGGTCTATAGTTGTTTAATAATAAATGTACAAGCATGACAGCGGCACTGCAATGTGCCCTGGGTACGTCTTTATAGATTGTTCTCGTGCGATAAAGTTGAGAAATTAGTATGTTTATTTATGCTGACCGCAAACAAAATTAACATTGGGCATGTGAATTTTGCGTGTTTAAAACGGTATTATGAATAACAAAGATACACTTTGGAATAAATGCACTTAATGTTATATGTGCGTCATTGAACAAATTCAAATGCTCCGTAGAAATGTGTTGGTGCGACAGTTTTACCTCCTCTTGGTACGAGTAACGCTCTGAAGTAATGACGTCAGAAGATTTAACTTTTAATCTCGATTTGAAGTTTTCGTGACTGCAGGGATCCATTACTCTTTGGTTCTTTCGGTAAAGTCACGTAGGTATAAAATAAAATAAATTAAATCACGACGTTTCGGGCGTAACACAAGCGTCCGTACGTATACCTACGTGACTTTACCGAAATAACCAAAGAGTATTTATCTTTTAATTGAATGTGAGCGTGAACCAGCAAGCACTATACCAACAGCATAAACGTCTACTATATGCATCATAGTATTTGGCTACCAACAGTCTCCATAGTTTATAACTTAAAACAACATCTCCCCTCTCATGTTATTGTGGCTGAGTTATTTCATGTAATTATATACTATCCTCATGTATAATTCATTCACTTCAAGCACTGGAGTCTAAGTGTAGGCATACCTGTATTCTTTGTAATTGTTCACCCTTGCTGCAATTTCATCTGATGGTGATACTATTATATCAGATAAATTAACCCGTGTAACATTAACAGGCAATGCAGCATCATGCATAGCCACAACAGTGTCCGTGATGATGAATAACACACTTTTATATTTTCTAGCCAGTGCCAGACTGTCAATGGATGGTCTCATCTGTAACATTTAGCATGGGAAGCAAGTCAAATGCAGTTACAATTCCATGACGTTAGTTTGGCAATCTGTAGCAAATTATCCAAAATCATCTTCATTTGAGTCTCGTTATCATTTGGTTGTCATATCTGTCTTACAGACCTCATCGTCCTCTTGTAAAACAGATTTAAGAAACCACTGCCGTAGTAAAAGAATGGAATAAGGTAATCATTTGAAAATAGGTTAGCATTTTTTTGACCATGTCATTATCCGGGCCTGTTCCCGGGCATGGCTAACATCGGTGTCGAGTGATACCTGAACTGCTCCTGGACCCTCCCCTGAACAACTCACAGCGACCACAGTGACGAAGCATAGTCCCATGTTGGACATGGCCTTCTTTCATCTAGCAGTGTATTGCCAAGAGGCTGTACACATCATTAAATCAATCATACGAATTACACACCTCTGTTTACAGGAATAAAAATAGAGATGCAATTTGTAAAGAGAGAGGGATGAGGACACACTTTAGAAACCTACACTAATTTATTATTTTGGCGTGATAAAGATTGTTATTGCTGCCAAGCTCTCTGAGATTTTAAGGGCAGTGCCTGATTCTCATTGTCATGATGCACAATGAACTATTGAATTTGCATTTACCGGACTGCAGAGGTTTAAGGGCATGGCACACTGAGATCCCTGAATGAATCACGCCTTACAAATGGTAATTAATATTATATTTTAGTGCCCATGATAAACATAAGAATTACCTTATAATTCGAATCATAATGGTGAAAATTTTTTTTCATTGCCCAGAATATCTCACAACAATCTAACTTAATTTTTAAGGTACCTACAAAATTGCATATGTTATGTAGGATGAATAAAAAATATTCAAATGTAACAATTACATCATGAAAATATATTTCAGTAAATACAATGTATTAAAATAAACTTTTATAAAAAGCAAAGTCAGAAGTTCAAAAATCAAGTGAAAACTTATTCAGGTTCTTCATGAAATACAGAAGAAATGAGGATGTTCAAGTGTGATGTTATTATTGGCAAATGGGACTTCTCCAACCATATCAGACTAAACATGTATTTACTTGTGAGTGAAACCTAAGAGCAATGGGTGGTATGTGAACAACAAAATGGTGGAGAATCTACGTATCTCATTATTGCCTTTGGAGTGCTTCATTGCCTAGGGTAAATCAGCTGGAGTTTTGTATTGATGTGCAAAATATATTCGTCATTATCACGGACATTGTTTATATAATGACCACACGAGTATAATTCTGTGTCATCACCACGGTGCAGATAGACCATCTGAACCAAACTACTGCACCAGATTATCTCAAATGCACAGCGGTCATTCCGCTTGCATGCTTTTATATACTGTAATCAGGACATGTCCTTTTTAGGCCGATGACGTTCAAAATGCTTGAATTCACAATGGGATGGATTGCTATGAATTCCTAATGCTTGAGCAAGCGTGTGAGACTCGTGTGACATGTTATTAATGCGAATCAATTTGGTGGTGTTACCACGAGTGGTTTTAAGAATCTAGATTTGAAGTTTTCATGACTGCAGGAATCCATACTCTTTGGTTCTTTCGGTAAAGTCAAACAATTCGGCAATTGTTTCTTGCTGTGGTTGTCCCACCTGATGACGGACGCTTGTGTTGTGCCCGAAACATCGTGATTTAATTTCTTTTATTTTATACCTACGTGACTTTACCGAAAGAACCAAATAGTATGGTTTTAAGAAATTAAATGGCCTTAACGAGTCAATGCCACCTTTGCCACCTGCCTACACAGGAACACCTTTCCATAGTTGTAGGCACCACTTTAAATTGCTGGTATTTTTTTCTTGGGTGTTTGGCCATTGTTATGAAATACAATTTGGAATTGCCTTGGCATGATTCTTGACTCACAGCTGGATGCTGAGTGTTCAAATTGTAGTTAGGGGTTGGCTCAGCTGATCATCCCTCTATGGTTGAGTGCTGTATATAAATTACTACTTTGCGAAAATTATCAGTGGTCATCCTTTCAAAAGACTTGTCCACCGCCATAAGAAAGTGGTATGTCGACACCTGGCACAAGGTCACCAACAGATGCCACTCCCGGGTTCAAGGCAGATACACTGCTGCCTTTATCTGGCTTGTAGTATGCAGTGAACCCAGATTAAAAGATATACTTTTATACTGAGCTAACTACTTTTCCATCCTGTATTATCATGAAGCCGCACACAATCGTGACTCTACAAGATACCTACATTTTACCGGTAGCAGTTATTTATGTTTCTAAAGCCTGAAGAATCCATGGCTTTAAACAAGGCTGACTTGAAAATAATGCCCAAAACTTACGTCCAACTAAATGTCGAATATAAATTTGCAAAATAATAAAAATAGAATACCTTTAAGTGAGTTATCTTGAAGATCGTGCTTGGGTCTAAATTAATATCCCTCTCTGTGATGCGTGTGAGATGTGCTTGTATTTTGGTTGGTACACAAAGGCATAAACAAATATGATCATCCATAATAGAGGTTTTTGGGTTAGATTGCGTAAATATATAAATGTGTTGTTAAACCCCGCCACCACCCAACACAGCCAACTAGTAAAAGTTGTCACGTAAACAGAACATGCCAATTCGTCACTAGTACAGCACACCGGTGTGCTGGAGAGCCAAGCCACAAGATTTACAATCTGAGTACGATGTTTCGCCAGTAATTACAACTAGCTTCATCAGGCGACAGCCAGATTTGTGGAGAAGTCTTATTGTTTCGTTCATTTTATAGAGGTGTAGATGTGTTGACCACGCAACTGCGGGCTTGCACAATGTGGGGGGGGGGGGGGGAATTACTGAAGCAACGTACATCATGCATGTGCATTATGCGAGCCCTTTAAACTTGCCCTTCCTGTTTATTGTGTTTAATTAGAGAAATAAATTAAAATAACGTTAACCGTTCGGATAGCTACCGCCTTAGTGCTGCGTGGAAGCGAATTATCAAATAATACATTATTTAAATGCATGCCTACAAAGGGCAGCGTACTTCAATAGGGATTACCGTTGGTACTGCTATTTTAATAATAAACACAATGGACAGGAAGGACAAGTTAAAATGGCTTGCATAATGCACATGCATCATGTACGTTGACTCAGTAATCCCCCCCCCCCACACACACATTGTGCAAGAGCGCAGCTGCATGGTCAACACATCTTTGCCTCTGTATACGGAACGAAACAGTGAGACTTGTCCACAAATCTGGCTGTCGCCTGATGAAGCTAGTTGTAATTACTGGCGAAACGTCGTACTCTGATTGTAAATATTGTGGCTTGGCTCTCCAACACACCAGTGTGCTGTACTAGTGACGAATTGGCACGTTCTGTTTACGTGACAACCCTTACTAGTTGGCTGTGTCGGGTGGTGGCGGGTATTAACGACACATTTATATATTTACGCGACCTAACCCAAAAACCTTGTGAATATTGGTCGCGAAAGCCTAATTGTTAAACAGATATGATCATGATACATTTTTATTTCTAAACGTGAACAGAATAAAAAAATAAATGGGCCAAACAGAAATCTAGCGCCTTTTTAACGAGATATAAGAGAACAAATTTAGGTACCTTTATTTTGAGGTCCTGAATCTTTAGCACTTATGCTCATACATCAATATAAGTGGCATGCAGACGCCAAGTCAAATTAACGCACGTGACCAATTTGCCTGCATTAAATTCATGTTCTGCTGAAAATAATAAAATACATTGTCACCACATCTGCTCAAATGAGATTCTCCCCTGATATGGGATGGTTTTTAGTAACTAATGATTTTAAAACAAGTGTAACAATGTTTTTTACTTGAGACTACACCAAACATAATTTTGTTATATAAAAGTAATATATATAGGTCAACCAGGTGGGGTGTTGTCTGTTGTATTGGCCGGCTCTCTGTGTTGTGTTGTGTTGCATTG